CAAACAGAGAATCGCAGGGGGTCCAGAGCAAAATTCTGTGCTAGGAACCATGTGCACCTGCATACTGTGTAGAAGAAGAACCTTCCTTCCTTCACCCGGCACACTTTCAGGTTTTTGGAAGTAAGACCTATTGTACTCATCCTCCTCCCTCACCCCACACTTGTCTGCCCCTACAGGGGGCTTAAGAGTTTTCTCGAGAGAAACCAAATGGTCCCAGAAAGAGAACCTACAGATACTGACGTTTGGAGCTCTCCCAAAGAAAGCTGCTGATGACCAATCACCCTCTGGCGAAGCTGCCTAACTCAGTAAGCCCCACCCATGCCCATGGAGCTCCCAGCTCATTTTCTGCCACTCTTTATTAAACGGGCACAGACAACCCATCAAGAACCACTTGTCTTTAGAGTAAAGCTTCTAAGATCTCCTTCGCTCAGATCTCTTTGCTGGACCCTTGTCTTCTTGATTTCTAAGGCTGGTTCAGTCCTTGCTCCTCTTCTCTCCTTTACCTACACCCACTCCCTTAAAGAGTTCTTAAAAAAAAAAAAAATTCTTCCAGTGTCGTGGTTCTAAATCATCTTCGTGCGCCAGTGAATTTGTATTTCCAGCTCAGATCCCTCTGCCAAAATGCAGATTCGTATATCCACCTGCCTGCTGTCTCTCTACCCAGTTGTGTACCATACCAGGCTGTTTACAATGCAACAAGAAAGGATCCAAGTAGCGTAGTGAATGACAATGCTGACAGCCTCTCCTTAGCTGTAGTGTAAGTCACATCTCAGACACAACCTGTCAATCAGAATCGCCCGGTCTTCCCCCTGAAACTGGTCCTCCTGCTGCCTTCTCTCTCAGTTGTCTCTCAGGACACTCAGGCCAAATCTCTGAGGTCGTTCTTGATGCTTCTCACACTCCATATTTATTACGTCAGGAAATTCTCTTGGCTCTATCCTCAAAACATATCCAGAATCTGACCATTTCTCACCATCTCTACTGCTACATCCCTGGGTCAGGGTAGCCTCCTAACCAAATTTCCTCCTTCTACCAATGCCTCCTATATATAGACTGTTCTCAGCAAAGCAGATCAAGTGATCCTTTGAAAATATAGGATGGGGGGCGCCTGGGTGGCTCAGTGGGTTAAAGCCTTTGCCTTCGGCTCAGGTCATGATCCCAGAGTCCTGGGATCGAGCCCCACATCGGGCTCTCTGCTCAGCAGGGAGCCTGCTTCCTCCTCTCTCTCTGCCTGCCTCTCTGCCTACTTGTGATCTCTGTCTGTCAAATAAATAAATAAAATCTTAAAAAAAAAAAAAAAGAAAGAAAATACAGGATGGTGTTATTCCTCCACTCAAAACCTTATAATGACTTTCCATTTCCCTCAAAGAAAAGCCAAAGGCCTCACAAAGGCTTTTAAGGCCCAACATGATCCATCTATTAGCTTTCTAACTTTACCTCCTACCACTTTGTCAGCTCCTTCTCTCAGCCACAGACTTCCTTGCTCACCCACCACCAGGCACATTCCCACTTGGGGTTTTTGCAATAGTTACTCCCTCTGCCTCAAGAGGCTTTTCTCTGCATGTTCACATGGCTAACTCTTACCCGCTTCAAGCTTTTGCTTGAGTCACCTTCTCAGTGGGGTCCACACGGAACAACCTAAATAGGAACACGCCCCAACTCGCCCCCCAGCAGCCCATCCCTATGCTCCCTTACAGTGCACTCCTTTTTCCTTTATTTCGTAACACTTACCACCTCTTGCTTAATACAGTATTTTCTTATACTATTACCTGTTTACTTTCCATCTTCTTTGACTATAAGGTGAACTTCAAGAGGGCAAGGATCTTTGTTTAATTTTTTCACTGGCATATCATAAGCTACTGGAACAGTGCCAAGTATATAGAGGTGGTCAACAGATATTTAATGGGCAAATAATACATAAAAATGAAAGACAGAGGCTAAAATTGACAAATAAGAAGGAGCTTGGAAAAAACAGAGATGATACAAAAAGTTTAAAAAATATTATCATAAAAATCCTCAGATATAAGAAATTAAACTGTATCCGTAAAACAAAAAGGGATGATTTAATAGCAGCAGTAATAGCTAAAGAACAAAGAATAAAAATTAATTCTTAGAAATTAAAATTGATATCTGAATTTTTTTAAAGGTTAGTAAACAGAAGTTCCAGAAATTTCCCAGAACAAGCAAAAGTCCAAGAAGATGAAAAACCAAAGATAAAAGAAAACTAGGTGACCCACCCAGAGCTCAACATACAACTCATGGAGGTTTTAAGAATAAAGGAACAGAAAAAATGAAGAAGAGGAAATTCAGGGGAAAAGATATTTTTTAAAAATTCTAGAACAGGAAGACATGAGTTTTCAGTTTGTAAAAAAGCTCTATGTAGGGGTCAGCATAGTAAAGACAAATGCCTCTCAGTCAACACAGTACCATAACATCTTAGGACATTGGGATGAGAGGAAGATTCTAAAGCCTCCACAGTTTCCAAACAAAGAACCAGTAATTAGGATGGCACAGAACATCATGACAATACCAGTGGAAACTGGAAAATAATAGAGGAATATTTTCAAAATTCGGAGAGTAAGGATTTTTAACATAGAAATACATGTCCAACCAACACATCAATCAGCTGTGAGGCAGAGTAAAAGCATATTTTGAAATGTAAAGTCTCAAAATCTGACCAACTATTCACCCTCTCTCAGCAAACTTCTGCAGGGTATGCTCCACCAAAATGAGAGAAAACCAATAAACAGGAAATAGGAGATCCAGGAAAGCAGGCAATCCAAATCAGGAGAAGATAAGGAGAATTCCTGGAATGATGACAAAAAGTCCCACAATGACTACGTGTAGCAGGTTTAAAAAGCATCCTCCAGATTGACGCAGAAAGATGGAGGACTCAAGCAGAAATGATCCAAGGGAAAAAAAAAAATGGTATTACTAGTATAATGTATTTGAATGTACTAAGAGAAGATTTTCAGTTCTCTTAAAGATTTGAGGATGAAACTAAACAAACAAATAAAGAGGCAATCATTAACCCCAGATAAAATGAAAAATTTCACAAGAGAGAGCTGAAATCATTATATACTATTTGACTGAAGTTTGAACATTACTTAGTTAATTATAATAATATAAACATTGGCTGTTGGTTTAACTCAACAAAGTGATGTAACTTGTACTGGAAGGAGGAGGTAAGGAAAAGAGGAAGTGGAAAGACATGAAATTCTTTCTTCCATAAAAGGAAGCTAATGGATAATGCCTAAAATTTATTAATCAATAAATAGCAGTGAAAGCATAATGTTTAGAAATATGGAAGTAAAAACCAAAAGTAGTAGTCAGAAGGGTGCCAATGGTTGTCTCTGGGGTTGGATTGGCAGTAAGGAGAGTTATTTGTTGCTTTCAAACTTGTAATGTCACTTTATTTTCAGACCACATACATGTATTACTCTGATAAAAAATAAATATTGGAGTGTGGGACATATCGGCGCCAAACCAATGCTTTCCACTTGACATAATCATAAAGATTCAAAGACAACCGAAAGGGAAATGAGTCTCTCACCATGTCATTCAATGTTACTGAAAATCATATCTTGGGCATAAAGTTTCAGTCAAGTAAGAGATCAAGCTCTGGAGATCTGCTGTACAACACTGTACTTCTACAAACAATAATATTTTATACATTTAAATTTTTTAAGAGGGTATATCTCGTGTTACATGTTCTTACCACAAGAAAATTTTGTTGGAAAAAAAACATGTTTATGCAACTCTTAAAATTATCTCTTCTATTAACATCCCATAATTTTAAGCCTGGGGAATAATCTGTGCAATTCTTTTTTTTTCTTTAAAGATTTTATTTTTTTATTTGAAAGAGAGACAGTGAGAGAGAGCATGAGAGAGCAGAAGGTCAGAGGGAGAAGCAGACTCCCCGTGGAGCTGAGAGCCCAATGCGGGACTCGATCCCGGGACTCCAGGATCATGACCTGAGCCGAAGGTAGTTGCTTAACCAACTGAGTCACCCAGGCACCCAGTCTGTGCAATTCTTGCCTTTGAAGTAAAGAGATGGACAAGAGAACAATGTTGTCAGCTCAAGGATCATGACTTTCCCAAAGTGATTTAAGATGGAATAAAAAGCCAAATAACCCAATCATCATTAAAGAAATCAAATTCCATAGTTGAGATTTTTTCCCACAAGGAAAGCATCAGTTCAGATCATTTTACAGGCAATTCTAACAACTTTGAAGGAGCACACTCTCCCAATCTTACTAAAATTCTCTGAGAAAATAATTCTCTAACTCATTCCATGAAACTAGTATAATCTTGATATCAAAGTGAGATGAAGATCATATAAATAAAGGAAAATTATAGGCCCACGTCACTCATGACATAGATGAAAAATCCCAAAGTATTAACAAAAGAGCTGAGTGACACATAAATGGTGACACATGCAATGTTTCTAAAAGCACTTATTTGGGGGATGAGATCTAAAGGGAGCCCTAGCATCTGTAGCAGCCAAACTCATGGTGTTCATGGTGGAACATTCTGTGTGCATCTGAAAAGATAAGATGATCAAAATCACAACAAGTATGTGTGAAATGGAAAGTTTTCTCACTCTTACAGGCTTGGGATTTCAGGAAATGGTTTGTCTCTGTTTCACGTGGAAAGGTAAAACAAAGATAGGAAATTGATGTCATAGCTAATCCAGCTGGAGGCTATCGAACTCTCAGAGTACTCAAGGGGCTCTTGAACCAAACTGCCATGCTTAGAGATATAGAGGTCTTTCTTAAGATCCCAGCCTTTTCTATAAATGCACCCTCTAAATTCGAAATATAGGTCAGTAGAGATTCCATGTGCTGGATGCTTCAAGCTTCAAGAATCATGAGGAGGGGTTTGGCTGTGAAGTATGGTTTGTTACAATGGGATATCTTCTCTGCACCTCTTTGCCCTGATCAGAAGTCTCTGTATGTGGTAGGCCCAGATCCCAGAAGGGTGGGGGAAGCATTACTTACTGTGCACGAAATATTCTTTCAAACTCTGGTGACCCAGAGACTGCCAGAGGTGTAACTTTGTATTTTAATCTTGCCTTTCCCACATGCAAAGCAAAATAACCTGCAAGGATAGAGAGGGATTAACAATTAAAATGTAGCACATCACTATTGATTAGGAAACACACAAATTTAAACCACAATTAGATACCATCACATACCTATTAAAAGATTTAAAATTAAAAAGACAAATTATATAAATTTAAAAAGAGAGCAGTAAGGCTAGGAGAGCAGCCAGAATTCTCAAACACTCTGATGGGAATGTAAAATGGTACAATCACTTTGGAAAACCAAATGGGATTTTTTAGTTAGACATACATAGACCATATAGCCAGTCACTCCACTTGTAGTTATTTCCTCAAGAAAAATTAAATCATATGTCCATACAAAAACTTGTACACAAATGTTCATAGCAGCTTTATTCATAATAGCCAAAAATTAGGAACAACTCTGCAATTGTTAATTGTTAATTTTATTATCTCAACTACACTAGGCCATGGTGCCCTGTTGTTTGGTCAAACACCAGTTAGACGTTTCTGTGAAAATATTTTTTGGGTGTGAGTAACATTTATATCAGTAGAGTAAATCTGAGTAAAGCAGATTACCCTCCTTATGTGAATGGGCCTCATCCAATCAGTTGAAGGCCCACAGAGAAAAGACTGAAGTCCCCCAAAGAGAAAGGAATTCTGCCTACCAGCTGCCTTGAGGCCACACGGCAACACCAATTCTTGCTAGAATTTCCAGCCTTCGAACACACCCTGCAAATTTCAGAGTTGCCAGCCCCCACAATGGTGTGAATCAATGTTTTTTTAAATAAATGTGTGTGCATGTTGTATTGTTCTGCTTCTCTGCAGAACCAACACAAATGTTGGTCAACAAGCTAATGGATAAACAAATTGTGGTGTATGTGGTATATCCATATAATAGAATACTATTAGACAGTAAAAGAGAATTGACACATGAAACAACAGGGATGAACCTCAAACATATTATGCTGAATGAGAGTAACAATATCAGAAGAGAACAGTACTGTAGAGTTTCACTTATATAAACTTCTCAAAAATGCAAATGAATCCATAGTGACATAAAGCAGATCCGTGGCTACCTAGAGAGGGCAAGAGCCAGGAGGGAAGGTCACAAGAAAACTTTTGGGAACAATGCCTCCTTGTCTGACTCAGTTTCCCTACTATCAGATGATCATGACTTTGTTCTTCCTTGGCCACATTTGCATTAGATCATCCAGGCCCAATGCCAGAGTTGCTTGCATCTGACAACCAGCCCTATGAAGCTCACTGGCTTCCAGACCACACTTCCTCCTTGGTCAGTTGTTCTCACCTTCCTTCCTTATCACCCTAGTTTTGCCCCATAATTAACTCTGGGCTCAAGGATTTCCCTTCAGATTATTTCTTCCAGTTTCGGTTCCCTACCAGTTCTTTCCAGGCAATCCTGGTCTCGCTTACTTTAGTACCTCCACATCCATTTCCCACTTGCTCGTGTTTCAAATCTAGTTTCCTTTTGCACACCACGTTTCTAGCTTGTGTGACAGTCTCTGGCATGATGCATTTCCTCCTGAGACCCGCTCCTATCTCTGTTCTGACAAGTCAGTAAATAGTGAGCCTGGTTCAGTAAGGGCTTGCACAGCAGGCCTCTTCCCTTCCCCACGACTTCCTCTCCTCTACAAATAAACCATGGCTCAGGATTTAAACGCTGCAACTGAACATCAAAAGTGCATAAATGCTCTGCTAGAGTCTCTCATTCAAAATGCTGTGGCATCCCTGAAGCCAGACAGAGCAGGGTGAAGCTTTGGGAAATGCAGGACCGGGCACAGGCTGTTTCCAGCCCTGGCTAAATCCTCGCAAGGCAGCCTGAATCTGGAGAGGCCATTAAGTCATGTGCCTGGCTGGCGCCAAAAAGGAGATGTGTCTGCAGAGGGGAAATATGGCGGCCATTCTGTACCGTGCTGCCACCATGGCTCCATGGCCTTGGAGAAAACACTTGGTAAGTCTTCTTGCTTCCATCTGTAAGATGGAAACAGTGAAAGACGTGTGCTCCTTGATTTACACTGGGCAATGGGGCAAGAACCTAAAGCTTCGAAATAAAGCCATGTGTGAAAGCTTTGAAAGTACCATCTTCCTCTTGGCTCTCCATAGCACCTGGTCACGCCTGTCTGTCGCAGGACAAACACGAGGAGTTTCTGGCAATGGCAGGGGTGTTTGAATGCTCCCCACCCAGCCCACCCACAGCACTGGGAGGAAGGATTCAGTTGGGCCAGCATCTCCCTGAGGAGGAGAAACCCCTTTCTGCTCTTCCAGGTCAGGGGCCTTAGGGAGGCCATGGCTACCGCTGCGATCACATGATGAGGGTGGAAAGGCTGGCAGCCATTTTATTTCCCTCCCTTACAGTCACCTAAAAACTACTTGGTGATACTCTCCTTTTGCTATGCCTGTCTTTTTCTCTTTTCTTCACTTTCACCGGAGGGATGCATGTATGCTGGGGGGGCGAGAGGGAGTGAGAATCGAGACCACCACCCCCGGCCCCACCCCAGCCCCAGCCATAGCTCAGCTTCTTGCATGTAGCTGCCCCTCAGTCCAGCCAAAGCTCCTTTCTGAGGGTGAGCAGCAGAGGATGGGGACAGACCATGCTATGCCCCAACCCCAGGCCAGGCCCCCTGGTAGGCACTTCTCACCCAGCATCCTGCTTAACCCTCTTTGAAGAGGACATTGAAGGACAGAATATCCTGGCCAGGGGTACCCAGCTGGTAAGTGGCTGAGCCGGACAGATAGGGGACTGTCTTCAAAACCAGATCTATTTCTACCATGATTCATGGTGTCCCTTCTCCATAAACACCAGACTTCTGCAGAAGCAGCAAATTCTGGTCCTTCATGTCAACTAAACAGTGTGTCTTCTCTTTCTTTCTCTCTCCCTCTCTCTCCCCCACCCAATCAGTAAACGTTCCCCATCTACCACTGTTAAAAAAGAGACAACACGCTCAAAATGGAGGCATTAGCACTAAGCTGACATCACGGAACCGAGACTTAATCCCTCACTTAGTTACGGTTTCAATCTCTCCCGGAAGTGGAATCTTACACAAGTCAATTTGGAATTACCAGGTTAGCACTAGTGAAGCAACGGGCCTGATAGATAAATGCTATCTAAAAAAGGTGACCTTTGCCACTAACAATCCCCGTTTGCTAGCAACTTCCTTTTGTGCCCCCTTCTGCCCTCTGTCTTTCATATCGTACAGCGCTCCAGAGCTCCTCTCTATCTGCTGGATGGGATGCTGCCTGATTCATGACTCGTTGAATAAAGCCAATAAGATCTTTACAACTTTCAGTTGAATTTTGTCTTCAAGTACCACCAACCACCAGGGGCCCAGTTTCCTGTCCTCTCCACCCAATCCCTGCCACCACCACCTGACCTCTGGCCACAGTTCCCCACTGTCCCCTGCACCCACCAGCACACAGAAGCCTCTCTGTGAGGCTGACAGATGCTCTGGGGTGTCTGTGGACCCAGTCCTGTGCTCTCTGCAGCACCAGGAGGAGGAAACACACAGGGCTGGTGTGCTTCCGGGGAGGTGTGTGGGAACCAGTGGGACCTCCATGACCCAAGGGCCCCTTTAGTTGGCGATAAACAACCTACTCTACTCTAGAATGTGAATCAAACCACACAATGTGTGTCATAGTATCATATTTTCATAAATACACAAAACACACTGGTTAGGCAAGACCCTGAACATGCATGTAGGCCGGGACTTTATCCAAAGCTGTGGTCCCTTCATGCTCTGGCCATCTGTGCACCCTGAGCCATCCCCAGCTCTGCCTCCCCTTCCTGGAGCAGCACACTCAGAAAAATAAAGAAATATGTATGGTTGGTTCCCAGTCTTGCTCCCCAGTGTCCAGACCCTTTTCCCCATTTAGCATGTTAAGTTGACATCATAGATAAGATGATAATTGACTCTCCATGGAGCAAATGCTTTTTACATAACCAGCCAGTCGAGATGCCCAGTAAGTCTACTGGGAAGGTGCTTTAAGATTTCGAATTCATCACCTAACCTGAAGCTCCTATTTCTGCAGATTTTTTTAAACTGGATAATCATACCTGCCACAGGCAGTTTATTTAAGAAACATTAATAAAAAATGAGGCTTCAAAAAATCACAGCCGGGGTCTAAAGCAGGTACAATGTTTCCTCTGGAACCGTCCGAATTAGTATGGATAGCCCCTTTCTGTCAGGTTAGCTGGTGCATTTCTAAGGGTCATCTGAACTGGGCCGTGGGTGGTAACCACAAACAGGACAGAATCGCCAGGCTGAGAGAGCCTACCTCAGCCCCTTTGCGAGAACTGCTCCCTGGAATGTTCCAAAATCTCTCTCTCTGGGGAAGGAGGCACGGACGACCCAGGGTACGCTACGCCTGTGTGGCCCCCACACAAGGAAGCGTGAAACTCAAAAACCAGACCTTCTTCCCCCTGGGGTGCGCACACACACACACACACACACACACACGCACTGCCTGAGACTCTTATTTGTTGACAGGCCGACAGGACTGAAACAGCAGCCAGCAGGATTGAATGCCCAGCCATCTTCACATGGAATGTTCTGGTCCAAGAAACTATTTGTCGAAATCCAGGGGCGGGTAGCAGGCACTTTCGACTTTGTATTGTTGACCTTCCTTATAAGGTAAATAAAGCCGGAGAAGGGGGGAAAAAAAAAAAAAAAAGGACCAGTCTAAGGGCTGGGTGATCTTTGCCCTGGAACAGGAATTGGGACAGCAGGTGATTTTGGAGCTGCCAGTCACAGATCTTTATCTGGCTGGGAGCTGCCTCCAGAGCTTGCTGGAAGGCTCTGTCCTCCCCACCCCCACCCCCTCCCACACACTGCGGCTGCAGCTCAGCCTTCCGGATTAGCCCTCCCCCAGCAGCACCTGTGGGAAGACCTTCATCTCAACCAATTCCGAACCAACTTCCCCTCCCCCTCTTCCAACCTCAGGACCCTTGAGTCTCTTCCCCAACTGCAAATGCTAGCTGAGCCCTTGCTTACTTCTGGTGGGAAAAGAGATGGAAGCATTTACTTAATCCCACTGAGGTTTAATGCTCATTTAAAGGGATTTGAACTTTATTCTCCAGTAAATGGTGAAACTTGGATTTGAACACAAGTCCAGCAGATTCCAGTTGTGCCCTCCCTCACCGCCCCCACCCCCATCCTGCTGCCTCCCACTGTCACCTTGACTCTCCCTTGGGCCTGGTGACCATACATTTAAAAAAAATAATAAACTAAAGCATATTTTCTGAGAAAGAAGAGGGCCCTCAGGAGAAGATGTGGAGTGATAGTTAAGTTGACTTTTTTAAAAAGATTTTATTTATTTATTTGAGAGAGAGAGAAAACATGCATGAGCAAGGGGCAGGGAGGGACAGAGAGGGAGGGAGAAGCAGACTCCAAGCTTAGTGGGGAGCCAGACATGGGGCTCGATCCCAGGACCCTGGGATCATGACCTGAGCCAAAGGCAGACGCTTAACCGACTGAGCCACCCAGGTGCCCCTAAGTTGACTTTTATAAGAAACACAGCACAATGGTCATCATGCCAGTCAGAGCACTGCCCCACACCACCAGGCCCATTGTGGGTCCCCCCACTGGCTGGGGACTTCTCTACTGAACCCATTTATCATAGCCCCCCTGCCCTGCCCCCCGTCAACACAACTCTTTTGCTCCTTCAAGATGCAGCTTCCTACAAAACAAAGTTGGGGCCCGTTTCTCATCTCACCCACCAGCTCACTTAGAGGGAGCCCCAGAGCCAGGAGAAGGGCCTGGATGCCTCAGCCTCACCCAGGCCTGTGCTTGGGCTCCCTCCCCTGGCTCTTAGTGCCCACGCACCCTCGCCCAGGATGCTGAGCGTCAGTCTGATAACAGGGGCTAAGAGGGGCTGAAGGGACTCCCTAGTGCTGTAGCGCTGTTAGGAGAATTAAGTTAGTTCACATTTATCAAGCACTTAAAACAGCATGAGTAGCACCCAGACCTGTGTTCTGGGTTTGTTAAATAAACACACAAAGGGGCTTCATGTAAGGCGCCACCCCACAATGGGCCACTTTGGCGGGAAAATGATTTTGAATTAAAAAGGCGTCAAGTCCAGCAGATTCAGGAAAAGCTCTTTACCTCCCCGCTCCCAACTGCCTAAAAATAATTTAGATAGAGAACCTGCATCAGGAAGCGAGGTATCACTATAGATAAGCGCAGTGGGATATGAACTGGGTGTGGTAGATAGGGAAGAACTTAACACGGCCTGTTTGGTCAGAGTCCTCTATGTCCCGTTGTTTTTGTATGGCCTAGCAAACACTTGTTGACCCAACATTGACCCTTTTTCATCTTCCTGTGAAGTGCATTCCTTCCCTTTGAAGTCCCAGACCTCTACCCCCTTCTCCTTAGTTCAGAATGACACGTACATGTCATTTTGCCTATCTTTGGAATTTCCGTGTCTTTGTGGATTCCTCGTGTGTGCACCATTAAATGTGATTTTCCCCTGTTAATCTGCCTCAAGTCAATTTGATTCTTAGTCCAGCTAGAAAAACCCTTGAGGGGACAGAGAATTCTTGCTCCCCATCCACATCTAGAAGAGTACTTAGCATATTATGTACCTAATGTAGAAAGATATATTTTAAAAGGTAAAAATCATGCCTCTCATGCAAATAGAAAATGAAAACACATCAAAGGTTTTATCAAATTCATTAATGGGGGAACGAGGATGACCTTTTAACTAGCTCAAAGGAGAATTTTTAAAAAACCACACATATATGGTATTAAAAAACAAAACTCAGCGGAGGACAAGTTAAAGACCTTATTGGCTTTATTCAGATACTCATGCACCCAGCAGACAGGAAGGAGCTGTACAAAATGAAAGACTATTCTAGGCAGAAGGGGGTAGAACAAGGACATTAGACCAGACCAAAAGTAAATTGCTTATTGCAAGGTTACTCTCCTTTAGGGCATGGCAGGGATCGACCTGGCAGATTACTTAACTAATGCTGATGAGGTGATTCCTGACAGTCTAGTTTAAGATTCCATTTCTCCAAGAGCTGAAACAGTCATTAAGTGAAGTCTCGGTGTGTTGACGTGGGACTTCGCATAAGCGACTCTATTTGGGGCCAGTTGTCTTGTTTTTAACAACAGGGAGTAAGGAATGCTAAAATTAACTTACAAAGAGTGGCAAACCAGGTCTGCTCCCAATGCCCGGTTGGTCTCTTCAGGTTCCCTCTGCCTTCGTTGGTTTTGAAATCACTGAAGAGGACCATTATGTAAGAAGGCAGATCCTAGAAGTTCAGGGTGGCCCCAAAACGTTCCTGTGTATTTGATTGAATGGCTTGGGGCTTCTGTACGCGGCAGGCATTCTGAACTGCTGGCCAGCTGCCCCGAACTCCCATCACCGTGTACTCAAGTAACCTCCTCCAATGACAGCCTTAGAGAAGAGGTCTGGGCTGGGCCCGTGGGCACGCAGAGGCTCTCAAAGGGAGAGGATTGCTCCAAGAATGAGAAACAGCAGAAGGAAGAGGGGAGCCGGGAATGGGGCCCCTGGCCCGTGGCCACATTCTTTTGGTGTTTATAGCTCCCGTTTTGAGAAACTTGGGTACGTCCATACTAGGGAACTAGTTTGGAAAACAAACAAACAAAACAAGCAATTCCAGAGGGACCTTTTTTGGCTCCCACTGATTTACCTTCTTCCCACTTTCCAGACAAATCTTGAGATTCCCTACTCGCTTATCCAAGCCAACCCCAGTCAGTCCCCAAATCCAGATCCTAAGAGATATTGATACAATGGCAGAAAAAAGGTGCTCGAGTACTTTGAAACCCAGTGCATTCGCGTGTAATCTGCTTTGATGGATACTGAAAGTTGGTACAGTTTCTGCCTCTAGGAAGGTATAAAACAATGGAGCTTTGAATAATGAGATGTTCATCACCTTGTGTGGTGATAAAACTTCCAGATGATCCTATGGTTGAAATACTGCCATCCTATGAACAAAGACTAGCAAACACGCAAGTTTCTCTGTACCTTTTCCCTGGCTGTACTGACAATGAAAAGCGTTGTCCCTGCATGCAGGACACATAGAACCTTCTGGTAAGTGCCCCCATTCCTTACATTTTTGTAAGAAAAGAAAAACAAAAGAAGACGCAGCATATTGGTAATTACAATACAGTGGGCTTTAAAATATGTATTCTACCTATAGAAACTCAAAGGAATCTATAAGGGTTTCTACAGATTTACCATATTCATCAGTGTTTGTTGCTAAAATGATACTCTGGGGAAGGCCATCGAGTGAGGCCAAGGTCTGGCAACATAAAAATGATTCCAGCCCACGTGAAAGAGCTGTTTTCATGAAACACAAACTGTAAATACAACTACGTCCCTATAATTGCAGTAAGAGATGAGAAGAAATGATATGTTTAACTAGAGTCATGTTCCGCCTCAGACCAGTGGCATCCCCCCACATCAGTCCCTGGCCTTGCCCTCTATGCTCTATCCTTGACCCTCAAAGACTGGCAGCTGGTCATCTGGTTTCTGGCAGCAGGGCGGCTGCCAACGGCCCTTGTGCAGAGAGACAGAAAATGCTCACCCTTCCCCAGGATGTCCAGAAATAACCAGGGCAGTTATGATATCCGACAGCCAGAATACTCCACCCTGAAGAAACAGAGCATGTAAGTTTCTCCACGTGCCTGGAGTTGACTGCATTATCTCACCGGAAGCCCCTGACCGGTTGAAGAAGCCTTGTCACGACACGGCACGTGTTGAAATGAAACTCAGATAAACCAAATTTGAAATCATGCCCCAGTCCGGGCAGTGTAAAAAAGTAGAGAGCTGCGGCAATCCCTCGGAATACGTCCTCCCCTTTTAGAAACTGGAGCACTTTGCTCTGCGGGCCTGGGTGTAGACAATGAAGCTGAAGAAGGCCAGGGCATCTTCCCCATGGAGGAGACCTTTGCCCTGGGACAGACGGGGCACAGGGAAGATGACAATCGGGTCCCACCAAGCTTCAGACACAAACTGCCGGTCACCTAATACCAGGAATGCCCCACCAAAGCTCAAAGAGACAAAAGAAGAGCAGCAAAGAAAGCAAAAGAGAGATCAGTTGCCAGTGTAGTACAGTAAAAAGAGTAAAATAGCACAGAAGCTGGCATGTGGCGGGCCATGCGCGGCTGTCTCTGCCACTCCCCCCCACGCCCTCCGGCCCTGGGTGGGCCCAGAAGAGATGAGATCTATTTGTCGAGAAGGCCATCGTACAAGGCAACAGATGAGCGTCGCATGCCGTTATGATTTCCAAGACTGCAAGGATTTCCCAGAAGAATGGAAACAGAGTGCTTGAATTACTTCAAAATGGCTTTTGACAGTAATAGAAGGTCTCAGCCCGAGTTGTCTTAAGTTTACATAAGGCTTAGGAGAGGATAAAGGAAAGTAGAATCTGGAGACTGGTGGGGAGAATGAGAAATCCGCGTTCTCACTCTTGACAACTCCCAGCATATGCAGCCTTCCTCTCTCACACACACACGCTCACACAAGTGCACTCACACACACGAACATGCTGCATGTCCATATACATGCCCATACACACTCACACCCACACTCATATATGCTCACACACACTGAACACACCCTCGCACTCTTTCAAACCCCACACCCACAAACTCACACACATCCAGGCACACTCACAGGTGCCATGCTCG